ATGTTTGGTTCAGCTTTCTTTTTTTGATACTATTCATATTTCATAAATTTAAATTTTTTTTCTTAAAAATTTAAATTTTTTAATATTTTTTTAATTTAAAAAAAACCTTAAATAGTAAATTTTGAAAAATTTTAATCTTTATTTTTTTTAAAACTTTTTTTTACTCATTTTTTACTTTTTTTTAAAATAACTTTTAAATTTTTTCTCCAATAAAAATTTAAACTTCTAAACATAAATAATATCAAAAAAATTAAAATAATTACAAATTTCACCGAACATGCTTTCAATGCCGTAACCTCCAAACCATGATACACTTTTGCACGAGTCTCTAGAAGAATTAGTAGTAATAATTACTCTAATAAAGTACATGTGAAGAAAATTAAAGTAATCTAAACATTCATCATTCAACTAAAAAATGAAGTTAAAAATCGTTAGCACTTACGTCACCTGGAAGTTAAAAAACACGTAACATAAGCACGTACGCGTTTAGCAATTGCTAGCGGAAGTTACAACGTAACCTCCAGCCCCACTAAATTTTTTATTTTTATATTATATATTTTGAATTTATTGATTTGTAATTTAAATAATATTAAATTATAAGAATAACTTAGGTAGTATCAAATTGTAAAAAGAGATCATCAAATTAAAAAAAAATTTAATATTAAAAAATTTATTTTTTATCTGATAATTTATATTTTAAAATCTAATGTAATTTAAATTATAAAATCTTTTACAATATATTTTACTTAATCCACTCATTGTACGCTCTAAATGAACAAAAAATAATCGCAATTATTATATATATATATATTTTTTTATAAGGGTAATGGTTAGGAAGTTAGTTTTTAATTAGTTGTTAATAACTTCGGATTTAATTCTCAGACCGTGTGAACATTTTATCTTTCTAATGAGGCGCGCGGCCATCGGGTCGCTTTGGTGGAGTTCAAGTTTTCAAGATTGTAGTAGAGTTCGAAACTCCGACCACCTCACCCAAGCACTTAAGGTTTGTGGTCGAATAATTGGGTCTAAAGGGCCAGTTCAATATTTTGTTAACTTTAGTAGGCTTAAGTTTTATAAAAATAGTGCCTAACAGTCTTATTTTTTAAAAATTAGGAGGAAAATCATCTCAAAA